TTTTTTTTTTTTTTTTTTTTTTTTTTTTTTTTTTTGTAATGAGCATGTCCAGCCACAAAGATGTCTTCTTAGCCACACTGATGGCAGGGTGCAGTTTCATATGAAGTCTACCATCTTCCATTCTCCCTACTTATACCAAATTTTGCAATTATCAAACCCTATACTGAGCCAGTTTCTGATCTGACGGAAGCCTACCCTACCAAGAAGCCCTGTGGTTCTAAGGCCAAGTGATCCAGTACAAGCCAAGGGCAGTGACACGGGATTGGGAACATGAGGAAAGCACGAAGCAGGAATGAGTGCCCAGCTCGACAGCAGCCTATGTGAGATTAGGTGTGACAGTCACTGGTGGCTCCATGATCAGAGCAGTCAGGCCTGGAATAAGACAGCATGACCCCATCCCACTCTCCCATTCACTTCTGCATGTTTCCTGCAATTACATCTTTTACACTTGCAATTAGCATTTACTTGGAATTGGTCCACATAAAACCTTCTGGTCTCTTCTGCACAGCCTTATGTGAACTGGTGCTGGAACATGACACCCAAGGTTGAAGGATGGATAAAACTGTGCCTCCGAGTAGCACCTTCAGCTTACTGTGAATTAAAACAATGGTGTTACTTTSGCCAGAGCAATTCACTATATCTTTTACTGTTCCATATAATAAAAGCATACCTGTCTATGTTCTCACCATTATTTATTTGTATTCTGTGGCTCAAGGTGGCTCTAGAGAAACACAATATGTGGAATCCACAGTTCTGTTGCTTCTCAACTGATTCTTTTCTCTCTTCCAGATTCTGTAGTCATGCAACTGCATACCAGCAAATAAATCTAAAAAAAACCACAGCCTTGAAAATAATGTTACCTTCCCTTCCAAATCAAATGGGAGAGCAGAGAGGTAGAGACAGGGAGACAAATTCGCACTATACTAATTTGTTTCTTTAAAAATGCAATGTGGATTACTTAGTTTAGAACACATTGCACTGGAATGTTCTGATTTTAAAATCACTAGTTATTTCAGTTTGGCCAGCTTTTAATGAAAGCTTGTTTTGCACAACAAATAAATATACTGAATTGAAGTTTGATTAGACAAATTGTCCTTATAAGGTCTTAGTTATTTTAGTTAAAAAAAAAAAAAAAAAGTTGATATCTAGACTGGCCTCTTGCAAGATTTTTTTTTTTTTAATTAGTAATGATTCTGCTGTGAAGAGGTTGTGTAAATATATCCCCTGTATTTTTGACATATTGTATATTTGAAGGTTATTACTTTTCAGAGCTCCAGCATTTTAAATTATGCTTGCAGAAGATAGCAGGTTTGAAATTTATTCATTTCATCTGCATCTGTTCTGCATTCCRTAGAGAAAAGACAAGAATATTGGGWGCTTGRACACTTTAGGAGTACTACATGTGTTTGTTAAGACAGCTCTTTCACACAAGCTCTGCTTACATCTCTGTAAATAGGGATGGCAGCCTGAAAGAGRTGCTTCTTAAGGGCAAGTCCCAAAGTGGAAAAACAGATGGGCAAAGAGAGCATAAATGGAGTACCATCTCAAAACATACAAGCTTGTAAGTTAGTCAGACAAATAGGTTAGTGAAAGACAGGAGTCAACTGTTTTGGATGAAGTATGTTCTGAAACCAGCAAGTAAACAAAGAAAACATTCTCTTTTCTTTAATCTGATTTCTTGTGTAATGTAAGGAGAAAACAGCCTTTCATAAAAAGAAAAAAAAAGAAGTATGTTATGAAACTCCTTTTTTAATTAAATATGCCAACTCTTATGYTCTGCCAGTTCTCAAAGAAAAATTTTGATGTCTTACTACATATAAGAAGAAATATCAAGACATGCTGTAGCTTTCCCCTTCACATAATTTTCATTTCAGTCAGGAGTCTGCTGTTCAAACAAAATAAATTCTGGCTCAGAAGTCTGATTACAGYTATATATTTCATGTAATCACACAATGTGAATCTTACAGATATGCTGTATATATTATTCAAAGGAGAAGGATGAGCTCAGTCCCACATCAAAGCATGTTATTATCCTTTTTTCCATAAATATAATAATACAATTCCCTACATTGAAATGAAGCTGTATATAAAGAAAGGATAGCATGGGAATACTACCTCTCGATAAGTGGTACATCACACAATTTTTTGTAGAAGTTTCAAAAAAAAGTAAGCAAGACTCAAGAGTAACCAAAACAATTACTTTCATGCATTTTTTGATAAAGCTTTTGTAAGTTATTAGAGATATTGGGATACTTTGTTTTCTTAGGAACAGAACATTGAGTTTTGCACTAATCTAGACAAAAAATGTCATTCCTCAAAATGTGTGGAAGCAGCAGTTTTGCATCCAGGGTGAAACATGGTCTATCTCCCTTCTCCCAAACAGAGAGATTAGAGAAAATTTATTTATTATTTACATAGAAAAGAGACAAGCTGAATTACATGTTCCACTATGCTACAAATTATCTGCATAAAGTACTAATGATTCAGACAAATGTGATRATTCAAGATGTTGCAAAAGGACAGTGGCTTAGAGGTTCTGTACAAGAAYCTGTCACTGCCCTCCCATATGCTTATGTCTGAATTATACTTCATCTGGCAAAGCCACAAAATGTTTAATCTATTGCTAATATATATCAGTTGCTTATCCCCAGTTATATGCCACTGTCTGTAAAATCAGGTTACTTACAAAACTCATCAGCCCCTGCAGTGTCTGATGTCATAGCCCTTGTAGGAGGAACCCCAAAACCAATGTTTTTGCACAGCATGAAACATGTGAAAATAGAAAGAAACAGGTATTATTAGATGTTCTGCACAGGCATTCCAGGTCTCACCAGGTTCATATCAGGATACTGCAGATAGCTTGATTTTGCTCTGAAGGGTAATGTAAGCATGAGATTTATCCAGAAACCTTCTCAAATGCAACTGAAGTCYATCCCTGTGCATCAGCCTTTATCTCCAGTGATTTTGGCGAGCGCCAAATATGACATCCTGAAAGAGTGATTTATTCTAGCTGCCGTTCAGATTGCATCTGGGAACCACCCGTATCTTTCTACTGATTTCAGAAGCAAGACTTGCTTAAACTAAACTCCTAACTTTTGCATTTCTAGACTTCTGTGGAATATATTGCCCCCAGTGCACTGTCATTCACTGAAACTCATGCAAAACACATTCCACACCCATCCTTTTCAGACAGCTCTGTGTTACCCAGTAGTGCCAAGGATCTGCCACATGATCCAAAGACTCCTACAGWAATCAGTAATAATTCTGTCATTTGGCATTAGCAGCTGGAATGATTTATCTCTTCTTGCTGTAATGCATAAAACATCCTGGATTTCTCAACTACATGAAAAACATTCTTTTGCAATTTCTATTCAGTAATCYTTTCTACTTCTCAAATACTAACCTTCCTCTAAAAACTACAGCAGAAAAGAGAGGCAAATAATGTTTTCTCTGGAAAGTACATGAATAACATCCTTTCCTCCAAAAGAGCAGTATCTGTGCTGTTCATAAATCTCAAGAATCCCTTGTTACCCTTTCCTTAAAGAAAACAAAAGCATACGGCTCTTGTTAGGGGAAGACAGATGAGATTTTTCTCCAGCCTAGGTTTGTGGAAAATAGCTTGATCAGAATTATGTCTCATCCTGTCCTCTAAAGGCTCTATCGCTGTCTTAAATAAGAACAAGTTTTAGCTTATTGAAACGGTTAGATTTGGAAGCTTTATTCTTTCTATAAATTGTGGCTCCATTAAAAAACTAGCATTCTCCATGGGATTAAAAAATACAGAAAATTAAATTGAAATACAATATTTATACTTTCCTAACTGCATCATCTTTTGTTTGCACGGCTTTTGCAKATAGTGCCACAGCAATAAATGTGCAGAGTTTTCATGCTTCTTTGTTATTACTATATTGTTCTGTTTAATATTTGGAATGCATAGTGAACGGGAGATCTCGTGTATCACCCGTTACAGCTGTTGCAGAGTCAATTATACTGTGTGTGTGTGTGTGTGTGTGTTTATTTCTATATTTCAGAAGCTGCCTATAAGCAATTTGCTGTTCCCAGGCTGTCTGCTTGAGTCACTCATGTGGCAGCTGCACCAGTATCTCCTAAGGATCAATGTGTCCTGGAAAGGGCTGTCAATACCAAACTATTATTTTCCAGCACAGAAGAACAGCTTTAATCAGAGAGCAAACTCTGATCAAATTTTTATAAATAATTAGCCAATAGCTGATGAAATATGAGTTTTTACTAGTGTGACTCTCTCATGCCAGACTTKGAAATCCATGACTTGTCTCAGTTGGTATAGATTTTAATCTTTTTTTTTTTAATTTAAAAGTAAAATTCCACTGAGATGTGAGTACATTCTGCAAAAAGTATGTGCAAACAAAAGATTAACCAAAGGCTGGCTTAAATTTTGAACATCAGAGCAGATGACTCAAAACAACTATCTATTTCTTCCCCAGCACATGTTAAATAAATGACACAGAATGGTCCTTGAAGTATTATTCAAACACGTTTCTCCTTACTCCATAGCAGAAACGAAAAAGCATACTTTCACCTCCTGTATTAAGATGAAAGATSAAAAGCTTTGAAACAATTACAGGCATTAGAAACAGAGGCACCTTTAATTTGTCTCCAGTAACTTTTTACTGAATAGTTGAAGCAGCATCTAGCATTAAAAAAAAGCATTAAAAAAAGTTTCAGGCACCAGTCCTGCTTACATTTTTACTGAAGATTTTGAATTTYTATTGATCCATGAAACTTATCTTTTATTTATGGAATTCAGATAGTTTTTTAAATCAAACACAAGAGCAGCTTACAGGGAAATACCATCTATGGATGCAGTTCAATGAAAGAGATTATCTGTAAAAGGGCACTGCATCAGCACAGTTTCTCGGGGGTTCATTCCAGTAACTTCTTGTGGTCTTCTGGTCAGGTTCAAGCCATCCAGTTGGGTAAAAACTGTGTAGGGCCTGTATTTCTGCATCCTAAGTTTTGGCAGTTAATATAATTTAAAACAAATTATATTTTAAATATAAAGACCAGCTGTTTTCATTGAACCTAGAAAGTAAGCAGGGATAGGRACAACAATTAATTTCCTTTTAAGTATTTGTTTCTCAGCTGTTATGCTTTTGCCTTACTTTCTGTTCCTCATCATCATGGAATGAGATTGCATTTAAACACCTCCCCCACATGTATTTTGTAAATATTAGCATTTGAACTTGAATATTTTCATCCATTTGGAATGTCTTATTACTGTTTCTGGTTCTCTCACATAACTAYTTAAGTCTTTCAAATGAAATGTTTKATTTTCTGTAGGATAAGAGAAACTGTTGCTGGTGACCTGTTTGCTCCTGTGGGATCTGTTACCTGAGGTTCTGCCCAGCATCTCAGCCCATGATGCTCCAAAAGCTCTAGAGAAAATGTACTGAGCCAGATTTGTATCTATAAACTGGCAGATACAAATCCTCAATTTTCCATTATGAGCAACCCATACAGCCACCTGGTTCACTGTGAAATATGCATTTTAATAAGTTTTCTATGCATGGAACAGGTAAGAGTATTTTTATGCTAAGCAATGTCCTGACCAATGATTCTTTTTATACTCCATTTGGACAACAACATCCCTCTAGATTTTTTTAATATAGTTTCAATAATAAAAACTTATGATAACTGAAGAACTGGGATTTAATAAAAACTATATTTAAGGACAAAATTTTAAATACGTGTGAATACATTAGTATTTTGCCAGAAGATGCATTAGTTCAGGACAGAAAAGTTAATGCTTCATTTTATTACTGCTAATTTCAGTTTTGTTAAATAGCACATTTCATGTAGTCATTCTTGTGTAAAGTGTATTTACTTTCTTTTTAAAATAAAAGCCTTTATTTTATAGAAAGGATTTACCTGCTTTAAAGCAATTTTAATTACTTTAATGCTACAGTAGTCTATATAACTGTACACTTAATAAAAGCATAAWATTAAAGAAAATGTGTACATTTGGGTCCATAACTTAAAGTTTACAAACAGCACTGTAAAAACCCAGGACACAATTTGTATTTGCAGTATAAATTAATAATTATAAGACATATACACAAGTGCAAATGAACTAATGAAGCTTTTCTGTCCTAAGAGGGTGTTTTTCTTTGACTTGCTGAGTAGATTATAAACCCTACAAAACAATGYTTCCCTTAGTGATAGAACACACAAACACTTTTGCTAAGTTTTTTTTTTTCATTTCCAGATCTCTAGGAGGCCTATTTAACAGAAATTTTGCTTAAATGACTGATAGCAGGTTATGCTACATAACACATCCCTAAATCGTATAGAATTATTGTGTACGTTTAATGGATATATGGAGACAGCACCCTTTATCAATGCATATTTTTGACAGAAATAAATGAGAGAAGTAGAATATTTCCATACTAAACATTTCAGTACCCTTAATTATTAATTTCTTCTTTATTATGGCCTTTGTGCTGTTAGTGTTCAAATTTCCAGTAGTTTACTTCATTTCACTACAGTTCTCTTAAATGCTAAACATATTATTGTTAGTTTAAAAAAAAAAATCTGGTTCCTAACATTAATTTTTTCTTTCTCCTTTTTTGTTTTCTCTGTAACATTATGAAATTCTTAAAGCTTTTTTTTTTAAGAACAATTGCAATATTTACACTTAATGGAAAATTTTATCACAAGCTTCTATATTGCAATGTTACTGCCCCTGTCCATCCATCTCAGTTCCTTATGTTCCCTTAGTGCCATTAGACCAGGGATGCAAGAACAGAATATGCAGCCACTCCATTTCCCAGMGTGAGAATCAAATATAAGTCAGATGTTAAGGGAGATGTAAGTGAACTATTCTGAATGGGCTTGGCAGAGGTCTGCACACCTAGATCCTGCTCTGCTGCTGCCCCCTGCTAAGTGAAGAGAAAGGAATAGAAGAATATACAACAGAGGGAACAGACATACAAATGTGAACAGTTAAAACAAAATCACCAAAAATCCCTAWGATTTTTTTGCATGTAAGCCAAGATTTACATTTGCATTTGTACATATTTTCTCAAAGTTTTTTAATATATTTTGCTCTCCTAGAATTCCTTTTCTCTGCAAAGAATTACTTTTAAAAGTCCTTGCTTTTGTACCAAATCTGGTGAGACCTACATAAAATCCTCAGTTTATACATTGTTCTGATTAACAGAGAAATGTCCTGATGCTATAGGACAATTCACAATTAATTTGGTTTCTTGATCAGTGGCCAGTTGGAACATCCCGAAATCTAGTGATCTTTTCTTCCTGTTTTTCTCCAAGTAAAATATTTAACTTCAAATAGATTATAACTTCATCAGTTTCTTTTTAATTTTTTTTTAATGAACTGACTTTGTCAAGCCTTAAGAGTGCAATTCTTCAAATAATCTGATTTTATTATGACTTCTTATTCTTGATCAGACCTGGTTATAACTGTGGCTTTAAAAATCAGTTGCTTTAAATAAAAAAAAGAGGCACACCATAATTGATGTTGAACAGATTAGRAATCTGCAGATTTTTATGAATCAATTCTTATTAACAGGTAAGGTTTAAGGAATAAAGACTTTAGAAACAGGAAGGCCGCCAAAAACTAAAACAAAGCATCTGGAATAGAAGAAAAGTTTCTGAAATCAAAAGCTCACAGAAGCCTAAGGACAGGAACAAGGTACAATAACAATCAAAGAGGGACAGTGAGAGACAGAAGCCATAAGGTGAGGCTGTACAGGAGAACAAAAGACAAGAGGAAAAAATAAATGACAAAGCACKACAATAACCTGAGGACTTGATTTTTCAGCAGTGCTGAGCACTACTGCTATCTAGTCCCTTAGTTCTTAGTGGACTGTTTCATCACAAAATCTTGCCAAAAGACCCGAAGGATTTATGCATTCACTTATTTGAAAAGCAGAAAGCTATACAAAAATAACTTTACTCAGATTAAAAAAAGTGACATGTCTAACTAAAGGATCATAAACCTAATTGTCAGGTGTGAACACAAAGGTACCAAACCCTAAGAGGGAATAAATGTTTTTACTTTCAGCTTGAGTAACTAAGTGACAGATAAAAGTGCCAAAATTATCTACCTTTACCCAGTGTTTACTGTCCTTCTGGAAATGGGTTGATAAGTTACAGAAAATTAGTCTTCAAGTATGGCCAATATATTGACAGCATTACGATAAATTAACATATACAATTTATATAGCTATAGCAGAGTAAAAGCACTCAAACTTGGCAGCCAAGTAGATATTTCTCAGAACCAYGGATCCATGATCAGGATGCCATGAGGTGGCTTGAGTTCATACTCAGAATTTTGCCAAGTGAAGCAAGTGAGGRGTTGCATTTTTAGCAATGCTGGCATTGTGTAAGATTTAAAAATATTAACTCATCACTTTCAAAATTAGAATTAAAAAGTATGGTTTCTGATTGTTTCCAAACTTTTTTTTTATGTCTGCAAAATTCATTCCCAAAAACAAAATTCCAAGTATTATAAATAACAAGACATGTATATGAACAATGAAGCAGCTGAGCCACACTGATCCAGGCAATAAAAGATGATCTACACAATGACAAAAATTTATGAAAGCCCATGAAATGCATGACAAATTTTGCAAATTGATCAGGTCCTATGCCTCTTTAAATTCATAAAAGCACAATATGACAGCAAAAACTACCAATAATTGTGAAAAAATTATAGAGAAGCATATAAAAATCATGATGCCTTTCCTAAAAAAAATGCCCAAGATATAGCCTAGTGGAAATAATGTATCTCTGATGATCTTACTTTACTAGTGTAGAAACATGGTACTTGAAGTCTCTTTAACATGAAAAAATGCTGCACCCACCACAGAGCTCCAGGACACTGACAGACCTTTTCTAAGTCCTTTTCTCTGGAACATAAGCAACTTGACATCAATAAAATGAATAAATCATTCTCACAAAGGTAATGAAAATAGAGTTACCATTTCACTAAATCTACTGGTATCCTCTCTTTTTAAATTACTTTGAAACCAATGGCACCAAAGACTTGAACAACACTGATGAAAATATTTACAGCTCAGAAAGTAATGTAGCTTGCTGGTCAGTGTTTGGGCTGCACAGCTCAGAGGTTTTTCAAAGATGAGATTTCAGTCAAACCCCAAGCTCCACAGGGAATGAAGCCTTACAAGCTATTGCTTTTCCCATGCAGGAGCAGCAAAGCTCTTGCATGAATATCATCTAAACTCCCAACCAAACAAGATTACAGTAAATAGATAGGGTTCATCTAACACTTACCAAGGGAAACTTAAAACAGAAGACTTTCTTTCCTAAGTTTAAAGAACAATATCCAACCGTCTGCACTCCCTCTGTCTCCAACCCAAGTTGTTTAAAGGATGGAAAGGATAGGGGCTCCACCATTGTGAGCAGCTGTAAAAATGAACAACTGTCCTCATCTTTCATCTATCTGAAGGAAACTACAAAAAAAAACTTGGAAGTCTGGAATTTTTGCACTTAGCTGTATTTTGGCTGTGCATAAGGAAGCAGACTGTTTCAGTCTGAGAAGAGTCTTGCTGAGCAGCCCCACATGGTTTCTGGCTATCCATCTACCCTTTGGTATTCTATTGCAGCTGCTTTGGCCATTGGCATCTCCTGCAATCCAAATATATGGTGAAAAGTTCAA